ATATATACATATACATATAAAAAAAAATTTGTATAAATGAAGTTTGTCTGGTGGGACAGATTGTTAACATTTTGGATGGAGGCATTCTGCAAGAGTTTCTTGGCATTCAGCACTTTCTCCTCCAGCTGCCTTTTCATATTTATCCTCTACATTAACTTTCCATTTGCTTCACCAACTCAACAAAGGTGACAAAATTTCTTTTCTAGAACAGAATCATTTTTAATTTCAGTGTCCTGCTTTCCTGAGATGTTTTTCTGCATGTCTGCTAGCTAGAAAATTCTTCATGCCATCACCCTTTTTGCCTGTATCTCATGGCTCACAAACTTTTTTATCATTGCTTTTCCCTATCGGTCTAGAGGTGTCATCAAGGGAGACATAAATATCTTCCCATTAAGTGTTTTTCATCTCTCGTATGAAATCTGGTCCAAATAAATGAGTTTCACTTAGCAACAGACTTAGAGAGGATGAATATATGAATTTTGAGTTTCCATATGAGAGCTTTTTAATAACCTATTACATGCTAAGTACTGAGCACTAATGTCACATAGTCAGATAACGTTCTCCTGAGAATTTGAAATCCCTCAGAAACCAGAACCATTACTTGAAATTATCCTTAATGTAAATCACAGGCAAAAATTAATCACTAATATTAGTGGTATAAGTGATCATGGCATGTAGAGCTTCTAGCCACAGAAATACAAACAATTCACAAATTAATTGCACGTGTTAATTTTTTTCTGGAAAATGAAGGTCAGATCTTGATTAATTCTGAAAGCCACCCCAAAAACATTAAGTGTGACACAAGAGCACCTAGAAGCAATGTGGTAATGTTGGAGTTTTGTTCTTTGGATGATGCTGAATGTCTGCAGGACTTATTTTGAAAGTGGTCCAGAACTGGATGCAGTTAATAACAACATCACTTCCTTGCAGTGGAGAGGAGTTTAGCTTTGATATATCAAAACCAGTAAGCTTTTATGTATTTTTTCTGGAGTAGGCAGACATCTGGGATTCGTAAGCTTTGAAATACACTCATTCTGTGGAAAGGCCAAAAGAAGGAACGTGACTCCCTGTTCTCTGTAGCATACATGCATTTGGTGGTCTGGGTAGAAAGTCTTGTTGGGTTAGATGCTCAGCTTTCAGAGACTTCTGTTCTGAATGTGGTTTCTGGGCTTGTCTGCAGTGCGTTGCCGGCACAGAGGACTGGCAAAGGGTGAACACTGAGATCCCTGTGAAGTCTCCTCGCTTTGCAGTTTTTGATTTGGCTGAAGGCAAATCCTACTGCTTCCGAGTTCGCTGTTGCAATTCAGCTGGAATCGGTGAACCTTCAGAAGCAACTGAAGCCACTGTGGTGGATGACAAACTTGGTAAGTGTGTGGTCATATGTAGTAAATTACCTCCATGGTATCTTTTCAGTTTATGATGTAATTGTTTTGTATGATGACAGATAGCTGCCCAGTAACTAATTCAAGTATGAAGAGTAGTCAGTGATTTATTCCCTTTAGCTAAAACAATTTTGGCTTGGGTTGTTGAACCTTTAATGTGTAGTCAAATAACAGATGCAAACCAAGGGAATTAAGCTGCAAATAGCGATGCCAAGAACTGCAAAGGCAGCAAATAGTGAAAGAAAATGAAAACTCAAGTAAGTACAAAAATGTTTTGTTTTACTTAGTCTTTATTGAAAATAAGCCCAGACATCAGCAGTTTAACCTTCTTGGTTTGCCAAATTAAACAAAAGTGAAGACTTTAATACTTATATGAATGCAGAGACTATTTGCACTGGAAGAAAAGCCAAGATGTTCACCACAGTAAAACATCAGTAGCTATGTCTACGTTAGTAATTAGTTTCCAAACAGCAATGCAGATTTGAATCCAATTCCTAGATTGTTTCCATTTATTTCATTTTGGTTGAATTCTCAGAGCAGTTTGATGCACATGAAGTACATTCTTTAAGAAGAAGAGTAAAACAGCTCCTCTTTAAAAACACTTTAGATGCATTTTGCTACTTAACAGGGGCATTTGTTTCTGACTTATTCTGTGGGCTGCAGAAAATCCTTCAGTGTGCACCTAACACGTTTTCCCTTGTAGAAAGCTCCAAATCACATCTCTGATGCAGATGTTCAGTGCAAGGGAATAAACTAAATCTAATTTAAAGGAAATGTCCATAACCATAGGCAATGGAGACGTGAGGAACCTCACGATCAGAGGCTTGAAGCTACTGATCCTGTCCTGCTGTGCCCGATTACTTGATTGAAATCAGAGGAGTTTTTGGAGGTTAAATCTATATTAGTTGTGCTAATATAATCAAGACTAGAATGCTGCTTTTATTTTATTTGTAAACTTTGACTGGCTGGTCATTAATTTATTTCTGTTTCTCTCCCACAGATATTCCCAAAGCTCCTGGGCGTATTATGCCAACTAGGAATACAGATACCTCAGTTGTTGTCACTTGGACAGAGCCCCCAGATGCCAAGGAGCTGGTTGGGTACTACATTGAGTCAAGTGTAGTTGGATCTGGTCGTTGGGAACCATGCAACAACAATCCAGTGAAAGGCACAAGGTAATGGATTTTAAAGCATGGAAATTATGGTCACCAGTTTTTGATTTGCTGGATATATGTGCTTTCCAGACATTAGTAGTAGTAGAGTTAATCACTCTGTGGTAGCCAGCAGGCTGGAATCAGTCTTGCAGGTGAAGTTCATAAGAAGTTATAAAAACATATTTCAAGCTGTGAGTCTTGTCCAAAAGGAATTCATAATCAACCTTATATTAGAAACAATTAGTCAAGGGGGAGGAAACGTGGACATTGCTAGTGAAGAAAAGAGAAGCAGCTCGCTAGTTCTAGCTGTTGTACAGCCTACCAGTTTGATGAAAAACAGTACAGCGAGGAATGACTGAAGTTACAAATGTGGAAAACTAAGCTGCATAATGTTTGGAAGCAAAGTCCTTTGTTTTGGAAGATTGCTGTAAACATTTCTTGACTGTATATCTAGAATGTCAGGAGGACATGTGGACTATATCATGCTAACAATATAACTTTCTAACTGCTCTTTCACTTGCAATTATCAAGATATTAATGAACACTCTTAAATATTGGGTGTAAACTCACATTTCTTACTGATACGAAGCTCAGTCTCCAGTCAGAAAAAATAATCAAGATTTAAAACTTTGCAAGCTAAATCAGATTTGGTTTTGTTTCAATAAGGATGTAATCTTCAGAGTCTAAAGGAGTAATTGCAGAACTTCATCTCAAGTGGATTGATGTCAATCCAGAAGCAGTCCCTACTTGTTATGACTGATTATGCTTATTTGTAATTGCTATCCATGACAAACCTTATTACAATAAATAAGGCTCTGCTAAATACTCTTGGACCAACTCTGTTGTTTAGAAGGGCATTGTAAATGCTTAGTATATCAAAAGTACCTGAAACCCCACTTGCTTGAACACAAGCACATTTCCTTTAAGTATTCTTCTGTGCATTTATATTGCAACAGCTGTACGTGCCAATATTATGTACTTTAATATATTATTCTATGATTTATATTGTGGTTACATCAAGTGTTGGTGAAGTTTCATGCTGTTTGCTTATTTTAAAATATGAAACATGATCTTTATTCACCGTAGAAATAAAAATATTGTTCTGAGTTACTATATATTGTGATGTAACTACACTGCTTAGGTTCCTATCACTGCATTTTTAGTCAATGCAATATAATGTATGATGCAGTCAGGCACAGACTGTCTGTTAACTCTTGGCTTTTCTGGTTGAGTCAATCTCAAAGCATTAGCTGTGGCTCATAGTTTGCATTATGCAATATTTTTTGATATTTTGAAATTTGTTTTCTGCACACATCCTGGTGAAAGCAAATGATTTGAAAAAGTCTGGTAGAATGGTAGGGAAAATTCTGCTCTGAAAATTTTGATTCAGTTTTTATTTTTTTCCCCAAAATAAAATTTTGATTTTGAAATACAATTTTGTTTTCCACATTATATTTGCTTCCTACATCATAGCATGCTATCAGGGTTGGTAGTGCAAGACATGACATTATGAAGTAGAGCAAAACAAAAGTAACATGAAATAAAATACACTTAAAATGCCTATTGAAAAATAAATGTTGTTTTAAATAAAATGTTTAAATTTCCAAACACACAGTTTTTCCCAAAATAAATTATTCCTGTCTTGGGAAATTTTGTGTTTTCAGGGTGGACACCAGAGAAAATTTATGAGGTTTTTTAATGTGATTATTAGGTAATCCAGTAGAAAAACTATTCTAATAAAAGAGTTTGTCCAACTTAGATTATTGTGTCATGTATAGAAGCAAGAAAGTGAAACAAAAAATTGGACGCTTTTTTTTTTAGCTCTTGTACAATGCCCTGTAATTTTTTTGAACACTGCAATTTTTCATTTATGATTGGAAGTGAATTATGGGAACTTGTGCTACAGGTGTCTTTTACTTATGTCGTGAAGATATCCCACAAGCAAATATAGACCCTACCTCTGCAGATTTTTGCATTGTTTCCATTAGGAAGTATGGATTTTATACACTAGCAGAAGTAAGGTAGACCCTCTGGTAACATAAACTCTTGTGGAGTCTTAAGAAGGAAAGA